TCTCAAGCTCTCGCGAGCTCTGTGTCTGCGACCGCAAGAGCTCAGGGCGACTGCTTGAGCTCAGCTCATGGCCTTACTAATTTTCTGGCTATTGTCGGGAAGCGCGGTTTGTCCTGACCTTTCTGATCAAAAGCGTCCACGGCGTCTGGGCAATCTTGCCGAAGTGGTACCTCAAACTCCCACGAGTTTTCGAAGTCGGGATATCCCCGACACTTCCCCAGATATGGGGTCTGACCCTGGTGACGTCGTCATCCCACTAGACGTTTCACGTGATAGTGGACGTCACCGTTCTCATCGGGAAAAGTCGGTGGTGGGTGGTGACGACCGGGTCGACCGCCGTCCGGCGACTCGTGATGCTCTTCGAGCCCTTGAGGATGAGATCCTTCGTGATCGGAGCTCCGCTGAGGATCATGCTGAAGTAGCATATCGCTGTGCGGACGATCTTGACGATTTGAAGCACGTCGTATGCCGGCTGCCTCACCTTGAGGACTACTTCGCCCTGTCGGAGCGATTCCTAGCCGTGGAGCAGGCGAATGCGTCGCTGCATGTGACGGTGGAGCGTTTGGTGCCATTGGAAATGCTACGACACGTTCGCGATGCGATGGCTGAAAGCCAAGACCTGCAAAAAGATTATGCAGATAAAAAAGGAAGAGGCAAAGTAGAAAGCTTTAAAGTCGGGGTTTTCATTAAATTCTAAAGACCTGCATACACATGCAGCCTCTGCCATCTTCAGGACGAAGCTTCGTCCACGGTTTATCATACCGTTTAAGGTTGTGGCCAAGTGGGGCCAAGCGGATACGCTGAACGTTCCACAACGGATGCGCACCCATCCGATGTTTTACGTGGGCTTGCTCAAGCCGTACCGAGATCCGGCGCAAGTGAACGCGGAAGCGTTGGCGCCGAAGCGGACCCCACGGGCCCTATGCCACCCAGAAGCTGAACCAGCAACTGGTTCTGAGCACGGAGTAGGACACTCAGTCTGGTAGAGAAGCAGTCATCGACTTCTTTGTGGATGGTGAGGGGGCTGACATTAGCTAGCCGTTCGGCTATATCTCCCCCACTAAGCCCTGAGCCATGGGATGGCGGCGTCAGTAGGACGCGAGGGTGAATCAGCCCGTTCACGTAGAGCGGCGTGTGGCCGGTAGACGAATGCACTGCATTGTTCAGTGCAAACTCTACGAGTGGCAACATGGCG